AAATATTTTAGTAAGTTTATTATCATATCAAATTTTAGTATAATGTGTATTCTTCTTAGTGTATTAGTAATATGTATGTTAAGTAATGTGTATACGAGTTGAAGCAGAAAAATGCATTAATTACAAAATTGATTTGTACTCAGAACAATCATTGTCAGGTCAGAATGACCCAGTGTTATCAGCCGATAGATGGCATTGTAGAAAAGCCGCCGATAGGGGGCGCACGATGACAATCGAGAATCGGGAAGCGATAGAATGTGATTAAGGTTAAGAATGTCCCATAATGATATGTATATATGTATATATTTACTGTAATAATAAAGAATTTATAAAATGCAACAGTTATCCTGATTGAATGAAAAGTGAAAGCACAACTTACCCCTAGCCGTCCTGAGATTAATAACGGAAATTAAAGATAACACTCGCAACTGCGAATTTCACGACTCCAAAATTCGGCCCCTAACAATAGCGTAAATTACTTCTTAAATAATTTTTATTTCTTTCAACATAGAAATCGGTAATTCTGCTCTTCGATTTGAAATATACATTTTCAAAAATTTTTTTAAAATTGTTTCTAAGCTCCGTAATACAATCAGCTAAAAATATCTAATCTTCGACCTGCACTCAGCCCTCAAGTTACGTTTTAATGGATAGCTTCAAATAACCGAAAAATTAGCAACGAGGCGAATGAATAAGACGGTGAGTTTGAAAACAAAAGCAGCATTTCAAAAAATCTGCAATCTGCACTTTAAAGTTAAGTTGCAAAAATTGTTTACGTTAGTTATAGTTATACATATTTAGAAAAAAAATTCTTTCACTGCTTGGTAATTATTGTTGTTGCTGTTCACGTCTCCATGGATTAGCAATGAGGAGATGATATGTTTCAAAACACGGTTCCAGGATCAGACTTCCGCAACAAAAAATCTGCACCTAAGTATGGTGTGGATAGTGATAATTATTTTAAATACAATTTAAGTCACAAATATTTATTTATTTTAACTTCCTTCTAAGTTGCCTATGAAATGTTTATTGTTCAATCTGCAAAATTTTAGAGCCATTTGATTAATATTTTTTATCCTAAATTCTGTCTCTGTTTATGTGTATTACCTATTCTTGTATTATTCGATAAACGTCTCTGATGTAAGATATTGTTGCAAAATGCCCAGCTGCGGTAAGATAGCTTCCTCGCAAAGCGGGTTAGGGTGGCCAGAAAGTGACAAGGAAAGGCAGAGTTGCCAGATTTGACGCGAAATCACCCATTTAGAGGTATGTCGTAGACGGAGAGAGACTATACTAGAAAGAATTCTTACCGTTTTTCCCGGGAATGTTCCCGAAAGCAGGTCAAAAGCTACATATACCCTGCCTGTACGCGGAGTAGAGTAGTTAGTATGTTGAGTTCCGCAGTAGTGTCTTGAGTTCAGAGATTAAATCGGGAGCGATCGACCGAGTCGGAAGATGTCTTCGTCGTTATAGACTGAAGGCTGTGTTGCTGATTGTTTCAGCGGGTTTATCGTAGTTCTTTGACGGCTGTAAATGTGTTTTTGGAACTGTCCTGTGTAATATTGATGAATAAATTGTGTTTTCATTCTTCATCAAATGTTATCATCAATCAATCCAAATCCACTAACCCATAGAACGCAAGAATATATTAAATTCTTTTTATTTGGTTGACTAACTGAGACAAAAGCAGATAAGATATGATTATATTTGTTTTGATCATATTTTTCACTGCATTCTCAGCTTTTGTCGTCCATCCATATTAATAAAAATATTTATTTGTCACTTGTCACGTGAAGAAAATTTGCTTTTTTCCCCCTCATCAAACATCACTACGTATGTCGTTTTTACTACCTTGTACGAAGTAAAGCAAGTATTGTAATCACGGAAAATTCCAGGTACCATATTTCAACAAAAATATTTGACCGCTATCGAATGCAATTCAACGATGTTTTTGCGTGACATCTGTACGTATGGACAGAAAAAAGGACTCATTCCCCCCAAAAATTATAAAACTGACTTAAAATGGAATCAGAAGAGATTTTTTCGTGGCGTCTGTACGTACGTACGTGCGTGCGTATGTATTTCGCATAATTCAAAAACGAGTAGCCTAAGAATTTGAACGTTGAAAGTTTGTATATAGGACAGCTATAGGATTTAGTTGTGCACCTCCCTTTTTGGTGGCAATGGGCCGCACCAAAAGTAAATAAATATATATACAAATATATCCACTCCGTTTCTCGGCTTCGTGAGCTCACTTTTTACTTTCTTGTACGAAGTAAAAAGGAAGTATTGTCATCGCGAAAAATTTCGGGTATCACATTTCAACGAAAATATCTATTTTGCCCTCTATCGAATGCAATTTAACGATGTTTCTGCGTGATATCTGTATGTAAGGACAGAATAAAGGACTCTTCCCTCCCCCCCCCAAAAAAATAGAAAACCGATTTAAAATGAATTTTGAAGAAAAAGTTTCGTGGTGTCTGTGCGCACGTGCGTATGTATCTCTCGCATAACTCAAAAACGAGTAGCCTCAGAACGTTGAAATTTGTATATAGAACTGCTATAACATGTAGATGTGCGCCTCCTATTTTGGTTGCAATCGGCCACACGAAAAGTATATAAATATCCACTCTGTTATTCGGCTCACTGACCTCAGTTTCTTTGTTCTTATATGCTTGTAAACAGTGTATTTTTTGTTTTAAAAAGGATTGAATTATGTTCTTCTTATCTTCCGGTTAAGGTTTCTATACCTTTACCAAATCTTACTTCTACAAGTATTCTACGTGCAATACTTGTAGAATTATCAACAATTTAAAAGTTTTTTAAGTGCGGCTAAGCCTAATTATTTTTACCATAGCGGCCATATTTGTTTACATTTGAAGCTTAGCAGAATAGTGGATTTATTACCAATCTAGAGAAACTAAGCTTCGCAACAACAAAGATAATATTTTCTTTTATTATTGTGAATTAAATCATGCCTAATACATTCTGGAATTTATTCGAGAAAATAAGAGTTTAAGGTTTACTTCGAAATTTTTAATATAGATATTTTGAGTTTGTATGTATTTTTGGCCTTGTCGCGAAGTGAGAACTGAATTATTGAATGAGAAATACTGAATCGTCTGTGAAAAACTGTTTCTTTCTTTCTCCCCCCCCCGTTTGTTTAATTTCTTTTATACATAGTTTCATATTTATCATAATATTTGAATAAAACATGTGGCTATGATTAGCTAATTCTTCAGATGATATAAATTTTGTGCATGAGTTGTAAAATGAATGAGATGTAACGCTGTTAAGTGAACCTAGCGCCAGAGTGTCGCTATGGTAAACAAATATAGTGAATTTTAAAGAGTGCATTTATTCTTTTGTGGTTTATGTGCTATCGACGAAGTAAATTTAATTCAACCCAATAAGTTTAAATGAAATGCAAGAAAAAATGCGTATAATTTAATATTCCGTACAAGGAAGTCATGTGGTGTACACATCAGATTTTTTTTTATTTAGAATTTCAATAAACACCCTTGGAGAACACTCAGGTTTAAAGAGAAAAGTTTACATCTCAAAATTTTGGTGGAAATATTTGCTTTAATTATTTAACAAACTAATGTAATTGAACATGTTGTTGACGATTATGTAAATAACATAAATAATTATGTGAAAAGCAGTGCCATAATCTCTGCAAATTTTGCGTAACAATCGTATTATGTTGCGGAAAGCTTTACTGTATCAGTGTTACTTGTAATAATATAACATGTCTGTTGCAATTTAACTTGAAAATTAATAATTCAGTTTTGACCAGAGATATCACATTTCCTTTCGGATAAAATTAGATATTAGATTCTGGCTTTAATGACAGAATTTAGAATACCTTTTAATTACCATTTATAGAGCTGAATTTATGACATTTTACGGATTATTTTGTTGTAATGTAATAAAATGAATGATCTTACCAAGGTGCATAATAATAAACTCACAATGATCAATGAGAAATTTACTTTATTGAAAGAATATTATGTACATAATTTCTAAAACAATATATAGAAATAAGTGAATTTATTTTGCCCGATAGGCTTTCAAGACATGCACAGCTGACAAGGAATTTCAGACACATAAAAAGTGTCATTTTAATCGTTGGCACGAATAAAGCGTTAGATTCTTAAGTATTCTGAAATCTGTATACCTTATAAAAGTTCTTAGCCGCCATGATTATCCAACGTAAGTGTTACACCTAGAAATCGTTTCTAATATTTACGGAAGTTTAAATGCATCTAATGATTGTACATTTGTATATTACAACCAACGCATTTCCAGCTGGATATCATTTAAAAACAAATCTGTTTATTCTTAACATAGTGGCATAAATATTGGCCTTGAGGAAGATCGAAGAATTCAATAATTGCTTTGTTTATATTTATGATTTTATTTATTTTTTGCTTATTATGACGTTAAGCAATAATCAATATACGATTATTACGAACTGCTGTGAACTGCGGTGCTTAACCACCAGGGTGCCTGGGCGCCATAGCCCTACCCCTCATCGAATAACATGATAAAAGTTTCGAATTATGAGAAATATAACTGAAAAAGAATCAGAGAACAACCTTTCGAAAATATCGTCTTTCAGCGCGAAAGTTTCCGTCTCAGTGGAAACGACAAACAACATTTAGGTTTAAAATCAATAACTAAATTTGCACTCTTCGAGTGCTAACCAAAGATTTTCAAGGTAAATTACTATTTTTAAACCCAAAATAAGGAAATAAAAGAAAAATTCCAATATTAAATGACTGGTATTGGAGTTGTCTTAGTTTGACCATAATATACAGCATGCAATCGATTTGACAGAGCCATACAGTGCAAAGCAAAAATTCGAATTGAAAGTTTGCTTTTGTTAATTTGAGTACACGAGAGAGCTGCCATATTTCGAGGTGCAGCTATTGTTTCATAATGGTATGACACAGATGAAAATAGTTATTGTTTATTGCTTTTCTTGATTTCCTATTTATTTTAAAGGGATAAAATGATCACAAAAATTACAAACCTAATAATTTGTTGTCTACATTTTTCCACGTAAATTAATGAAATGAGAATCACTTTAAATCCCTGTGTATTATATTCCAAGAGGTTTTTTTTTTCACTTTTTATGCGCTTTACGCGATACATCATTTTTGCCTCTACAAGTCAAGTAATCTATAATGTCCTGATTAATGTTTATTACTTAAGAAGGAATACTAATTTATAGACTTAATTTATGTGTCTCGAAATTACTTTATTTGAGATATTTTAAGAATGGGGAATAAGATTAGAGTCTATGCAAAGGTATCCAAGTCAAAAATGGATATTTAGGTCTAGTGAACGATTTCAATTTGGCGAGGAAAAAAGGCACTATACTTTTTAAATAAATATTTCATACTTTTTACAGGCAATAAAATTTTAACTTTTGAATAGCTTTCGAATAGGTATTGTTTCGCATCCATAAGTATCGGTATTATCGTTATATTTACAATTCAATCTCGTTTCTATAAAAATCGTTTTTTTTTTTTTTTTTTTTTTTTTTTTTTTTTCTTATTCGAGTTTGGTTGATGTAAACCAAACTCGAAGTCAGATACTCATTTTAGGAAAATTATGTTTTGTTTAACACTGTAAAACCACAGACTCTGAAAATATCTACATATTCTGTACATATTAAGACAGAAATCTATTAACGTAACTATATAATTAGGTAAAAATTATCCATATTTTTCCGACAAAAATAATTAAAATTAAAAAAAAAATCTTTTCAAAATATTTACCTTTTAGCCTTACAATATTTGGAAAAGCAAATTTAAGTTAATAATGCACAAGAAACTTGGCAAAAATAGAACAGCAGCTATTTATTTGTAGTATATCCTATAAAATTTGCCTTTCTTTTCCCGACAGAATTGATTTAGAGAATTTACTTTACTTCTTGTTTGAAGCTTGAGAAATTTGGATGTTTTATTATAATACAAGCTTTAATGAATAATTATTTAATTAAATAATATCACCATAAAAAGATTTAGGAAAATGTTTTATATGATTTACTTAGGAGCAACTTATTATTTGCACTTTATTTCCACACAGTGACCTATTTTAAATTTTTTATCTCCACGTCGTCCACGAGGAGGGAGGGAGGTTGAGAGTTCTGATGTGCATAAGCAAAACATTCCGATTTTCAATTACACAAAATTATCCATTGACGAACAGTTAATTAATTTAATTTAAATAAATTAATTAAATTTTTTCAATGACTAAAATGTGATGTCATTAAACAAAATTTCGGGAAAATTAAATTTTTGTTTTAAGTACATTAATTAACTGATTATTTATTGTATTTTTAAACAAAAATTTTAACAAAATATTTCACTTTATAAGTTGGCAACTTATTAAACATTCTTCAGTCTTTTTTTCCCGTAACAAATGTTTAGTTTCAAAGTATAATTAAGAATGTGTTCAGAATTAATAGTAAAATGTAATGTAATGTAGTAGTAATGTCGAGTGTTTATTATCTGATTAATTACTGCATTTTTTGTATTATTTTAACTTGAACATAGTAAAATAAATTTAGAAAGAAAATGAAAGCGCTCACGGTTTTCAATAAAGCCAAAAGAAAAGTTTCTTTTTATTGCAATTAGTTTAAAAAGAACTATAAAAAATAATGCCTCTTTGCTCTTGATCAAGAAAATAATCAAATTAAATAATAATAATTAAAAAAACAGGATAGTTTTTGATAAAATTTCCTATACCTATGGAAATATAAAATTTAGATTAATAACATAAAAAATTAGATACTTTTAATTAAAATCGACATCGCCCTTAATAATGACACGCGTCCGAGCTAATAAATTTGTTCATATCGGCGAAAAAAGAGCAAGAGCCATAGATATTTAAAATTTGACTTACACTTAACTGTCTTTAATTTGGATTTCTTAGCTCTGCCGCGGGTAGTAACTGCTATGTGAATAGGTTATAAGTTTGTTAGACATGTTTTCAAAACTAATGAATGAAATGAAACAAAAAATAATTGTGCATTCGGATTTTAAATTAGTATGGGAAAAATTCTATTCTACACAGAGATAAAGCGCAAGCGATTTTAATTCAAAACGAATCTAATAATCTAATTTATCTTAAATTACATTTCCTCTTTTCCTGACATATGAGAAATAATATAATTATAAAGATAAATCTTTTCAGAATGGAAATTTCAGGTATGTTAGTATAGAAGTGATTCTAAATTAGATTTATTACTTGATGCGAGGTTTCTCATGTCATATTCGTAAGCTCAGTGTCACATACAATTGATAATTGTCGCTTTTCTTAAATAAAGCTGAAACTGTGTTTTAATATAATTTAACATGTACAGTATCATATGAAGCAAACGTTGTGTGACGAAAGTTTGAAAAAACAGTCGCTCATGCGTTATATGCCATATCCAGCTCTGAGGCTTAGTGACATTTTGGGTTTTAAATGACATAGTTAAAATATGCAGTTTTTAAGACACATCAACAAATGTGGCCTGCACGTTCAATTCCTCATTGACGGGCTAAGCTTCTTCTTGAAATTAAATTGCGTGTTAATGATTTTAACGTTGGTTTTATCCCTCGACTTAAAACATCAATTCACATATTGTCTTATTTATATGAAGTTCAATGTAATTCATTCAGATATTACGAAATATAGAAAAGAAATCGGCTAGGTACTATTCACATACTGCTAACAGATTCCTGATGCATTCTGCGCATGGGCAAAAATGATCAGTCCATTTACAAAATATGGTACTTTGGTTCATGAAAGTGAGTCAGTTTCAATGTTAGGCGAAAGAAAAATAATAGCAACATTTCTTTTCTAACAACATGATGTGAACTTCAATCTATGTATCTCTCTTTAGAGCGCAGAAAACTTTTACAAAGTAATCAGCCTAAGAATATGTAATGAATCTTCTTTATATCTATTCCAATACTTTAAAGATACTTGATAAATTTTAACATCACGTTGGTTGATGTATAAGGGCGGAAAAAAAAAAGTTGGCTGCGTGACGCAAATGTAAGGTTAGGAGGAAAATGCATTCGAAATATTAATTAAAAAATGACCGCATCTATTTACAGATTAGAAAAACATGTTTTTCGATACATTACCGTTAAAAATGTGGATCAGAAACTTTATTTCATTTAAATACTGCACGAGTTAAAAAAACAAAACTAGAAACGAATCGTGAAGTTTAATATTAAAATATAATACCATAAAATATCTCATTTCTTTTAAAATGTTTCTTTTCATAAACTATGTTAGTAATAACAGTATTTTCATTTTACCTGTTAACGTTAAAATGTTTTGATAAGGTAAGCATCCAAGCCCTTTTTATTAACGGCAAATTATTTAACATACTAGAAACATTTACCTTTAGACATATCAAATCTAAATTCTAAGTTGCATATAAACCTATTTAAGAAAGCTAATTAACTCTTAGCTAACAGAATTAACAAAATGGTTGGTGCATTTACAAAATAATGTAAGCATATAAAATAGTATTTTTTTGTGCTTAATATGGCAAAAGACACGAGGGTTATCATATATAAATATAATAGTACATACAAAATTTTAATTAATTGCCATTTCAATAATAATCGAAATAATGTCAATCTAGCAATATTGCGTTAAACGCTATTAAATCCAAGGCCCTCCAAGTAGTAGGGCAGGTAGCACTAAAAAGAAATACGGATAAATTGATAAACCCGATCTGTTTAAATTTCCTGGTTTTATAATAGTCTTTAGACAAAAGCAATTTTTTATCACCAGATTCATTGTTCGATATTCAACCCACAACAAAATCAGATATGACATAATCCCTATCGCTACTAATAAACAAGGTTATAAATTCTACCAAGCAAAGTTTTAACAGCAGAAGGCGTTATTTTGAAGTTTCCCAGAATTTCTATGAAAAATGCGGCTAACCTAGAGCAGCTAACATCATACTCATCAAAGGATTAAGTGAAATATTCACAAGTGGGGATTTTCCAAGGAAAATGACTCACAAAATCATCCATTGAAATATATATTCTAATATACATTTCTGCTAAAAAGTGTTATATACCTTTACTTTGACCTTCAGCTGCCGAAAATACTTCTCACTGGCTATCCGAAAATAGTGTTATTCGAACTTGCTCGGTCTTCTGTAAAAGGAAGAAACTCATTTCAGTATTATCTTAATTCCTTCCCCCTCCCCTTGCTCAGTAGAATAAAAATAAGCTTCAGTTAGAGAAATGAACGTGCAATGCATGGAATTCGGTTAGCTATGGGTATACTAAATTTTTATTTAAGTCTTTAGTAAAAATGCTTGTTGCCATTAATTTCGTTCAAGCAATTTCCTTATGTTAAGAAACTTCAGTGACATCTCTTAATGCCAAGGAGACAGACGACTTTATTATCGATACACCGAGTTCAGTTATCGTTTGACATTTGGAGCGCACACAGCAATCAATCAAGTTTATTCCTATCTATTTTTCATACTTTATTTTTTCTAACCTTTACAGCGCAGTACTCACAGACATCACATAGCAGTTATGGTTGCAGAACATGAAAAGTCCCAATTTACCTAAAAAATTAAGGAGTGCGTCTCATAAATGATTCTTTGTCATTGTTAGCTCTTAATGCACTGAATGTTTCCTTTTAAAATTTAAAGGAAACTTAAGAACTGCGATGTTTATTAAAGGAGAAATCCGCTTGAAAAGGAAAATGTTTACTCAGAATGCTATAAAAAGTAAAATGTTAGCACTTAATGGCAAGGAAGAGATTAGCGAAGTGGAAATCATCGCTGGCACAGTATAAAATGGAAGATCAGCGGACAAAGGAAACGTTTTAACAAACGCCTAAGATACTTGCCAAAGAATAAGGATATAAATGATCTATTTTCTGCCATTTAACGGTAAAATTGAATTAATGCAAATGCATGAGCTGAAATGTTTCCTTTATTACATTACTGGAAGTATTCTGTAAAAGAGATTTGCGATTCTGCAAAATAAACTTAATGCTAAGTATTCATTTATACGTTAATCTTCACTTGATGTGCAAGTATCTCCGTAATTCGAATACTATGTATTTATTTTCTTTTGCCTGAAAGATATATTTCGCTCAATTCTTTCTTATATCTAGAGAAACAACCGATCGTAGTTTGCGTTAAAATGAAATTTAATCATTTCATTAAATACTAATTATATATAGCTTTGTCCCATTTGATGGAAGTAGAGCATCGTTATGAGATTTTCTGCAAGCTCAAATGGTGTAAGGCGAATAAGCAATTATATATTATCAACTGAAATGGGAAAAGTTTTTAAACGTTCTCAGATCTGTATAAGCTAACTATCAAATTGTACTAAATAACTCATCAAACCTAAAATAGTACTGAAAGTACAATGAAGTGGCAAATAATGCAACCTAAATAAGTACAAATAGAAAATGCAGAGCAGTTTCACCCTAACTAAACTAACACTCTGAAAACTAAAAGAGAGGGGAATACAAACTGAATACTGATCACAGAGTTGTTGGAGATCGCCAGAGACTAGACTGCAGGAGAGAAAGATTGTCATTTCTGTCTGTGAGATAGCCACATTTAAAATTTCTCTGCTTGTCTGTTCCCACTATCGAAAGTTGGGGTTTCTATTTCGATGCATCTGATAGAGAGCCAGTGCGTTCTACGAGGCTCATACATTTTGCCGTCGCGCTGTCTGATGTGTACCGACTCCGTGGCCAGTCTTGGATAAGAAAGGCTTGATAAAAGTGCGCCATGATTAGTGAAGACTAATGCATTTTTTTTCCCTTAGCAAATAGTTTTTTTTTTATAGGAAATTTAAACATTTAGTAAAACTGCCCTAAATTTACATTCTTTTCACATTAAAAGAGACATTTTTCTTCACTGCATAAAACAAATGTTGAATATCTTTTTTTGTTTCCCTTTTTTTTTGCGAAAGCAAAACGAAAATCTTCAGATCTCTTTCATGAATGAAAATGGTACGAATGTCGGATATTTTTTAAAAGCGAAGTCTTATGAAGCGGAGGATAGCCTATATACGAAGAAATAAAATAGACATAAATTTACTTATGAGTTCATAATGCTCGAGATAATAGTTACGCCAAAAAGGTCATCGCATCAGTTACTTAATTGAGCAAAGAAATTTTACACCACCACATTCATTGTTAATTATATATAACACAATCATGATTAACACTTCTTAATCATATTTGTTTCCTCATTTTTTACTAATAGAACGCGTTTTATTTATGCTTGGAATAGGAGAGATAATATTGTTACGCTAAATTTGGGATAAAAAAATTAAAGAAGAAAAAATTTTCTTTTCCTGAATAACTAAAATTGTGTTATCCCAACCTCTTGGATTCATGGGCTTGTAAGATAAGGAGAGTTTATCGAATTCAGTATTATCCGAATTTCAATGAAAGCATAAGGTATAAGTGTAAGCATAAGGTATTAACTTCATAGAGAATTTAATCTTATTCCTTGTAAACGCTAGGGCTTTTGTTTATTTTACGGCTGCCCGATTGGTTTCATTAAAAAAGTCGATTGTTTGCTCTGCTTGTAGCTTTAATATTTTTATAACAATGGCGATAAGGTTTGCAGAAAAACTTACATTTTAATTTACAACAATTCAGTCTCAGATGCTTACTTAAGTATGTTAGAAACATATGTATTAGACCCAATTGAATTGGATATTGATAAAACGCATTTAATAATTTTAGTATACTTTCATTTTAGTTGCATATTTAAGTATGTTAGAAAACGCATAAGTCAGATTCAATTAATTATATTTAAGAGTGATGAAACGTATTTAAGCTTTCTTTTTCTTTCTTCTTTTTAAAAATAATTTGACCAATCTGCAGTCTGTTTAGTTAAATTTTGTTTCTTATAAATATAAATTTCAGATTCATTATTATTATTATTATTATTTCCTTTTAATATTTAAATGCATTTTTATTATTTCATACTTCTCGTTGTCTAGATTTCAAATTTCCAGAGGCAGTTTTATTTATGAAACCGAAATACGGAACTTTATTTTAAATTTGTTATAATTTAAGATTTTGAATATTCAGTGAGAAGCAGAAGATATGCCTTTTCTTCTTTCATAACTCATGACATAATTTATTCAGTAATAATGAATCCCGTTTCTTTATTATTAATAAACTTTATTTCTCTGTTATAAAACCAATTCAGACGAAGATTTAAATCCAAAATATTCATTACTTCATGCTTCAAAGTTTAAAAAGTATTATAATAATAAATGTAAAATTGTGTCAAAATTAACGCAGGATTTACATTTTTCCGTTGCATTGGCAAGGCTTTCTGAAAGATATATTGTAGACATTATATTCCGGTTGGTTGAGAGTTAAGCATGATGGAAAAACATTGGAGCATTATCGTGAGACCATAACAGCATTTTTGTTACCATAATTGGAAGCAATGGACTTTGGCTTTGATGCTGATTAGATGTTCTTTCAAGAGGGTGGCGCCACAAATCATGCGTAGCGCAAAACTAATTGAGCCGTTACAGAAGAAATTTCATAGGCGGCTAATTGTGCGCAACAGCGATCACAGTTGACGACAGAATTCACATTGCATGTCTATTTTCATTCATTACATCTTTCCTCGCCGACTGATGGCGGCTACGTGAAATATCCCATTCTACCATCTTGATTCTTCTCATTCTTTTCTTGTTCCAGACATTCTTTTATCTGATGCAAAGTAAAAGCGAGCTATCGCGCGCTGTCACTCTCTTTCCATTCGACACAAGTCAAGTCATGCGAACTTGTGACTTTTACCTCTGGAGATCTGAAATGTCCAACGTTTGAGCAAACGCATACCAACCATTCCTAAATATAAAGAAGAAATATAACATGTTTTATCTCAACAACTGAGTCACAAGTCTACGAAAATGTGATTTGCAAATTTTGTTAAAATATTGCTCGAATGTCATATAAGACGTAAGGATCATTTACTGGATATTATTTTCCATATTTAATAGGGTTGTTGCTCTTTCAAAATGTGTCTCGACTTTGCCAATTCATGCGTAAATAAAGATTAATTTCGTAAATTTAAATCCTGCGTTACTTTTGAAATACCCTTTATTTACCTCATTTCGTTTTTGTTTTAATACCTAATTACCTTGTTGTAATACCTTGTTCCACTGCCTATCATGTGCATATACATTTACACAGCAAAGTATATTAGGATTTTCTGACCAGTTTAATGACCACTAGCTATCATTTGAGCATCAGGGAAAGAGATGAAAAATTTAGCACTTCTCTCATTCAGCTCTACTAATGATTTTTTTGGATTATAAGTTCACCTCCTTGTTAAATTCAAAAATAGATAAATTATAGAATACCAAAAATGTAACATTCTAATTTAGAACACGAATGCAAAAATGGATTAATATGTATGCAAGGCCATCTTTCTCCCTTTTGATTATTGCTTGTTATAAATTTCACAGGGCAAAATACTGTAACAATTAAAGTCGATGTGTCGACTGAGGATTGTGCAATTAGTCATCCCGGCTGTATGTCTGCATGTTTATTTTAGGAAATAAGTATAGCATAATAATTGTTAAGAAAAAAAAAAAACAGTCATATTCATTAATAAATGTTTAATTATTATTTTTTAATACAGAAATATATCGATTTTAAAAATATATTTTCTTTTTACCATATGTTCATAATTTTCTTCCAAATAATTTTTTGTTAGAGATGCAAATAACACTTCCTATATCCATTAATAATCCTTTACTTATCATTTTTTAACAAAAGTGTTAGGTAGCTAAGGACTGATTTTTTACTCAAAAAGGCTGACTCCGATAATAGATAAGCCGTCCACCGCTGTTGCATCAACCAGACATATTTTCCTCCCCTCCCAGGGTCAAGTGTACTGTATAATATGCAATGTTTAAAGAAACGCTAATAATCGCACATTTTTAAATCATGTAGTTTTCATAACCTTTCAACAATAAATACGTAAGCTCTCTTTTCATTAAAAAAATAATTCCATTAACTTTAAAATGAGAAAACTGTAGTTGAATAATGTTGTCTATATTCAGTTAAGTTGAATATTTACAACTAACACAGTTCACAGATTAAAAAAAAAACACTTTGCCCTGAATACATAGCATACCAGAGCGTTTTCAGAATTGTTTGCATCTGAAAGGGAAATGTGAGGAACGAAAAAATAAAAAAAGTAATAAAAACGATTATTTAGTAACAACAGGATCTAAACCTATACGAAATGCAGGAATCTTTTTGAAAAAATATGCGAATACATTTTTTTATGTTATTGATTTGAGTTTTCACTGCACAGGTTATGTTTACAAAGAGTTTCTATTCAAAAACTTGTCATTTAGAGGATTAGGTCTCAAGTGCACGTCAAATATTTAAAATCGAAAGAATTTTCACATGCGCGCAAACGAATGATCTGTTAAAAAAATTGAATTTCATCTGTACAGGTCAAATTACGATTGCATTGCAGTTATCAAGGTCGACTAATTGAAAATGCAGTCTCTTGTTGGAAACTCGAACATGGCCTGATTCGAGAAAATTTTCGTTGTCAGCAAGGTAAAGCTGCATTATCACCATCTACTGAACCTTCCAACACAGTTCTTGCCTCCTCGGCCTCTGTTTTGTACAAAGCCTCTCTGGCCAAATAGCGTTTTCTCATAATTTTTTGTTGCACGGACTTTGGAATGTCAGGAATCATATATGCCAGGATACTGGTGACGAAGAAGACTAAATGCTAAAAAAAAAAAAAAATGAAAAATATGTAATAAATAAAATACCAATAATTGAAATAAAAAAAAAAAGAGTTGCTTTACTGCTCGAAATATTACCTCAAAGACAACCACAAAACTCAGCCTTGCTGCAAAGATGTGCCAGTACTTCATGTTTAACTGGTACTCTTCAGGATCATTGGGAGGATTTCGATAATCCTGGTACCTATAAAATGAGAAACAATAACTTATAAATTGGATAATAAAACATGGCTTTAATTGCATACTTTTAGTGCTTTTATGAGGTACCAAAATTATCTTTCCACATCAATGAAATAATTATTAAAATCTATCGTATAAAAAGGAAAAAGCGCCTGCATAAATCGCGTAAAAGAGCATAATTTTATTCTATTCACAATTTAATTTCAGACAAATTTAAAATATATTTTATAAAAAACAGCTGACGGAGAATAAAATATCATTGTTTCATGAAGGTATTTTCAATAATAATAATAATGTTTTTATCGGCATAATGAAGTAGTATTATTCTTGCATTACTCAAACTTTTGCGTCTTACCGATACTAAATCCTTTTTCACGATACATGAAATTCGAGTATCATATCAAAAATATCAGCATAATGCTTTGGAGTTCTGATGCATGAACAAAAATAGATTAACAATAATATATATGCTTGGCCCTTTCAGGCAAAAGTTTGCAAGATGTTATTTATAAGCGTTAGTAGAACTCCCTTAACAAGTTCTTATTTGATTTGTAGAAACTCAACCGTTGTTGTTCACCTGCCATCATATTACTGAGAGAAGAATCAAACGTCCAAAAATGTGTTCATAGCATTTCTAATGTATTTCATAGGATCTTTCGAAGTGAATGGAAATAATATTCAATTACACAATTGGAAAAATCCGCAGAATGCTCTTCTAATCTTATGACACTCATATATAAAAGTAATACACGCCGCCCAACCAGTATAATGGTTAGCGTTGCTGACCGCCGTGCCGATGGCCCGGCGTTCGAATCCCAGAGAAGGCATGGATGTTTGTAAATGTATAGTGTCGGTGAGGCATGGCGGCACTCCAAATATGCGGAGAGCCGAAAGTCCTCTCGTGTGGCTTGGTGGAATGGGAGAAGAGTGGGAGACCCTAGGACCCGTCCCCATCGGAGTACTCTCCATCAAAATTGAAGGGCAGAACTGAGCCAAGTCGCACTGTCACCTGTTAGGTATTCAAGGCTGTTGCCAGCGACAGACGTAATCTTGCGCTCCTTACCACGAGGAATTTCGTGGGCTTAGGGTGACTACGTCAGACAAGTGAACATAAGCAACAACAACAAAAGTAACACACCGTCATTTTGAAAAAGGCAATTTCTTTACGGATATGCGAACATTAAGGAATTCAAACAATCTGTAACGGATATAAAAATGATTCTGTAAATATACATCTAACAGAAGTCTATACGAACTAAAGAGCGCATAGAATAAAGCCAGTGTAATCCCAACCACTTTCTGAACCTTTCCATATTGTGAAGAGTTATAATGCTTAATTTTTTACACACATATATTTTTCTATGCACTCCAAAATATTTGAAATGAATTCACTATAAGAGGTGATTAGTCTACAGAATCTGAAATATTCTCTCATCTACTTAAGAGGACACATTCGCATCGATAGATAGTGTAGTGATTCCTTACACTCAAGTTCTGTTTTACCTGATTGCTTTGAAGATGTTTCTATTCCTCCTGTGAAAAAGTCGGTCATATACACGCACCATTATTCTCCGATTGCCGGAAATACAGCTACTACTATCGTCCTTTTCTATAAAGAGAGTAAGTAGTCTTCAGCGAAGCATTTCAGTACAGTGCACCATTATGTGCACTAAAATGAGTAATATGTTGGGCATCCGCTATTATTCTTCTTCCACACTGGCCATGTCAAGATATTTATTCACGATGACAATTATTTAATATCCATATAAATCTCGGATTCAAATGAGCAGCGAAAACCTGGATGCTAATTTTATTTTAAATTGTGAATTAGGATGTGGAAATTAAGCTACAGTAGATTAAATTTGTAGCAAAGTAATCGCTGCTAAGTTGGTCTTGTGTTTTCCTTTAAACTTAAAGGAAAGGAAAAGTACAAGTGACATGACACTCGAGGACAACTGACATTTACCTGAACAGATTAAGGGATTAAGAGATTAAGGATTAAGTCTTACATCCAGAACTCAATTTCTATGGATCCAGATATTCGGAGCTCTAATATGCGGGAGTAAGAGACTGGTTCTTATATTTATTTTAAACTGAAACAAGATGGCAGTGTTCTTCTCAATAAAAGTGAGACATTTCATGCTCCAGAACTATTATTAGTCAAGAAGAATGATCTAAAGCGTGTAAGAAAACTTAAGAGTTTGAAAGAAAACATATTTAAAGTATTCAGGTCATTTTAAAGTATTGAAAGTATTCAGGTCTTCTCACGAAATCGAATCCAGGTACAATAATGTGGTAGTCTACAGGACTGACACATTACCATATCGAAGCACCATACCAAATACCGAATCACCATACCGAATCATCATACCGAAAGCAGAGGCAGCTTTTTAAAAAAACAAAAAATATCGTAAAAAAAGTAGAGGAGGAAAAATAATATTCGGGTCAAGCGTTTGATGATTATTTAGGCTCTTATGTAGAAGTGAAGATCATGATCGGATCTATAACATTTAGAACCGTAATTAGTACATGGCCGACGAAAACTTGATTACTTATTATGATATGATAGAGGAGTTCAGTAATTTCCAAGATAAATAATGTGTCACAGGTTATTCAAGTAATTTATGGAAGGACATATGTGAACGGCAACTTGTAAACAACGGCAACAGTAAAACTCCTGATATCCAGGCTGACTAGGACCACAGCCAATTTCTGATACAAAAATCCAGATAAAGGTGTTGCGGAGGTAGTAGTTCGCCAGAGCGGCAATAAAGGAACCTTTCCACTTGAGCTACTTCGCCATCTAGCGAAGAACGACTATTACAGCAATTCTGTAGATCGGTCTGTGGGACTGGCTGAAACATTTCTCCCGTTTTGGTAATTTACTCTATGCTCTAGGAACTCACTATAGTGTGTAACTACGTTGTCTTGTCCAGCTTAACGTTGTGTGCTTCTATCAAATCTTTTCGATAATCTGTTAGTTAATTTTCTTTGTTATTAAATTGTCAAGTTTAAATTGTTGACTTCATGGCTAGCATCAGTTAATGGATTTGATTTATTTATCTATTTAATTAGTTAAGCTTGACTTTTTAAACTTTTGTGGACATGCTAAATTAGTGTTCCAGACTGGAGACCCGGACGCCATACGGATCCGGGTCACTTTTGTAGAGATCACGAAGTGTCGTTAAACTTGCTTGGTAATTAGTTGCTTACTCGTGTCGCCCTTTATTAGTACCCACACGAAGTACAGCAGTGCACGAGTTTCATATGTCCTTGAGGATGTAAAACGACCTTGAGATTTAATCGCAGATCTATAATGTGGCAGTCAAGTAACTTACCACACAGCAAAGCCGTTAAATAGCGTGCAAAAGCAACAAAGTACTGTGCAAAAGAACTTTTATGCTGTAGATTCTGATATTTGAACTGCTTTGTGTTGCGAGTGTTTAATTGGTTCTCCGGACCACTACAGTGTTCCCTGTATTCTGTAGGCCAAATAAGCAGGATATTTTGGCATAGAGAATAAAAATATAAGAAGAATAACTTTTAGTTTATTGTATTTTATATCCGAAAGAATTGACAGTGAGGTAGTGTTTTTTTAAAGCTGATAAAAAAAAAAAAAAAAAAAAAAAAAAAAACTAAACACCTTTTTTTTTTTTCCTATAAAAGTTGAACAACGAAGTTTTTTTTTTATTTATTTGAGTACTTAACTCGCATCCATTTCAACTAAAATGAAAACACGATATTAATTTTCATTCATTTAAAACCCTAAAACGCATAATATAGCTTTTATTCATAATGAATTAAAATAACAAAGAAGAATTTATTTGTGCGAAAGAAATCCCATAATATATTTATATTCAATTAAAATTTACACAAATTCACCTACAATAAGTTTTAATAACATACTCTCTGCTGTATCAATTTTTCGTATTATTTAGATAAAACCCCTAAATAAACTAAAAGCTCAGTTTTAGCTTTAAAAAAGAACATTTGATGTGGATAATTAACGTTTCATTACGTACAATTTGAATAAATGCTATTTGAAGCTTGGAAATCACGAACAGTAAAATAACAGAAAATTAAAACTTTCTGAAGTAATACCTAAAATTATCTTTCAATAAAAAAATCTGAAGTACTTCATTTATTTGTCAGTTCGAGATAAAGTGTCAGTTTTGTCGCCAGAAATTTATTTTCAGCTGATCAGTAAGATATATCAGAACCAAACTTGGTTTTATATTTAAGTCTTGTTAAACTTCGAAAATGTTTCCTCAGATATATAGAGCCATTAATTTAAATTTTCAAGCTCTGCCTCTTGGAGAAAACAAATGAATTTCTTGAAGAGCACATTGCTCCATATTGTTCTAACAAGACTGGTAAGAATATTATGACGACAGGTACCCAATAGATTATTGCATGGTAAAGGAAATCGATATATTGGCTCTAGAAGCAGGAGTACACTTACGATTCTGTGGTACAGTCTTCGGTTCTAACCAACAGATCACAATTCAGTCTTCAAAATCAGAAATGCAGTTTTTCAAAGTCACGGATCAGAAGCGACATACCTACCATTTCCATTGCGAACTGCTATCACTAAACCAGAGCACTAAATAGTGAATCCAGCAGGGTCCCGCATACTCATGATCTGTGGATGTAATCAATATTGGTTGCCCCAAAACAAATGAATCTCAAAAAAAAAAAAAAAAAAAAAAAAAAAAAAAAAACCCGTAATTCGGTGAGAACAAACTATTCCCTAGAAATACATAGTGAAAGATTTCTGGTAAAAAATTTCACAGTTTATAGTAAATTGCTGCTATTGGAACACTAATCTCTTGAAAAGACTTGTGTATTCATAAATATCTTATCTGCAAAGATCAAATTCTTTTAGTAGCCTTTGAACCTCTTTGAGACTATGGCATCCAATCTCCTATAAAATATGGACTCGAAAACAACAACAATATCAAATTCATTTTCTATCCTTTGAAAGTGAATAATATCGCTTGTTTG